GTTACAACACTGGCTAACACACCAATCATACTTCCCCCCCCCAATGAAAAATACTTTTCTACGCCACTGATATTAGGCACGTATTTTTTCGACATTAAATGTGGAATACCCTGGCTCTACTACTTGGCTAGTAGTGTAGGAGTAGGCCTAGGCCCAGGCCCTAGGTTGTGTCGTCAGTTTCTGTTGTTATTTTTTATGGGATTGTCAATGCATAGATCTACGTACGTAGGTACGACGAGAGCCAAGTATATTTTTTGCGATAATTTAATTACAATTCCCCCTGACGAACACGGATAAACTGTCTGTAAAGATATCAAAATGCAGAGGCTTTCGACCCACTCGAGTTTCTCATTATTCCATCCATATGTTTTCCCGTTTTTATTTCATACCCTCTTCGCTGCCGCTGTTTGGTTCCTGGACGAATTTTTGGTAATTATACCCTCTTCGCAGCCGCTATTTGCTTCTTAAAACGTCTTAACAGCCACTATTTGGTTACTGAGACATCTTTTTGGTAACTGCGCATGCTCGACATGGCTTGGTAACGTCACTTACTTCCAAGAGCATGCTCACTGTGTTTTTTTTTAAATTAATTCACGGACGTTATTTGGTAACTGCGCATGTGCATAGCTTAGTTCGGAATTCCCATTTCTTCGTAGAAAAAGCTACCTCTACCTACAGTTTCTTAATGACTATTTCTTCTTGGACTGCTGTAGGCATAGCTATTTTGAAGAAGGCCTAAAATAAAACTAAAATGTTTTAATACCTGCTGAAATACATCGTTTTTTCATTTAGATCTCCATTTTTCACTAAGTCCATGCGACGTTTTTTTTCTGTTGTATACGTATGAGTAGTCATATGAAGGTACTATATCCCCGACAGTTGGCTGTGCAGCAATGTACCCTTTGAATGCAAACTGAAAAAAGGTGAAAATATAAAGGCAGCCGACTGTCGGGTACAACGATTATCTAGCTTTCCACAAAAACATGAGGCCTAAGCTAGGCCTAGTTCAGTATTACTGCGATGCGAGGGTAGTTAGATCGTTCAATCAATGATATCGTGTTATCGTCTAATACAATTAAATAATGTGTGTAATATTTAAGAATGCACCACGTGGGTCGCTTTCTTTGTTATGCGGTAGTAGTATACGTAGCAGAGTGACGGCAGAAAGCTAAGCCTAGCTTAGGGCCTAGATCGTGTACGTTCTTGATCATCGTAATGAAAACTTCGGGTGACAGACGATTGGGCCCAACTGGTGTGGATGATCGGACCCAAGATATTTTCAAATAAATTGTAGTCCTTAGCAGGCCACTGCCAGCACCCCCACTTCCGATATCGTTCCAAACTACTCAGTAAAATGAAAATACTGTATACCTAGCTAGGCCCTATGCCTAAGATATTTTTCAAAGAAATTTGCTAAAACGTTACTGTAATTTGCCTGTCGAATTACATTACCAATGTGGTATGAAATCACTATTTTGAGCCATAAAGACTCCCCCTGTATTTTTCAACCACCACACAAATTTGACCCAACGTACATATAAGTATGTATGTTATAATGTATGTATGTATATG